GCTGTTGTATTTCGAATAATGGGGAAAAGTTACAATTTTTTCTTGAAAGAACCTCCACCGGGATCCTCTTACAATCTTTCTTTGGGTTTTTATAACCCAAAATGTTACAAGATTTTTCCAATGTAAAATATCCTTTTTGATTTGTTGATGAAGATGCTGGGACGTAGAGCAGGGGAGACCGTGGGAGCTACCGGCAACGTAGAAGCTGTTGAAACATGGATGGACAGTTGGTGAGGTGCTGGAAGCTATTGAAATGCTGCTGTGGTGGAGCTGCCGATGTGGAGGAACAACTGGTATTCCTCTGGATGCTGCTGGAATCGTCGGGTGGAGTTGCAATGTGGAGGGGCAGCTGTGCCGGGCTTGCTGTTGTAGAGGTAAAAATGGTGATTATAGGTTCATTTCACCTTATTCTTAGGCACGAGAAGCTCTCATTATTTCTTTTTAGGTATAGATGAGTCATCAACGATGATATCTCACATTGAAAGATTGATTGTTTGAATGAATAACATCATCGTATTCTTTAAAAAAAATAGTTAACACCATTAATGTAATGAGGCTTGGCGATAGATTTTGTCTCACCAAAAATATTGAAAGTTAATGTAGAGGCCATAAATGAATTTAAAGATGAATGAACTTGTTGCAAAGAATCTGAATTGAAACATACAATACATCATGTACGATCAAACTTCAGAGGTCGTTTGAACAACCTTGGATCATTTTTTATAATCTCAAGTAACGAGTTTTAGTTGTTTTATTTAAATATTTAAATAAATATGAAAAAATACAATCCTAACAAAATAATTATTCTTAATAAATAAAGTTGTTTTGATACGTTTTTAATTAAGTTAGTGTCGAGTCGAGTTGTGATACCAACTCAGTTAGAGATATAGTAAATAGTATAAATATACAGACAAACACATGCGACTAATTGAAATAATTGTAATATGATAAGCTAAAACATATAAAGAGTGTTTTAAAGAAAAGTTCGGACCAACATTTGACTTAAAAATGTATCTACTAACATTTAATTTATTGATAAACTAATTTATGTATTATTTTAATAAAAATATTAACGATGTATATTGTATAAATTAACTGATGACATTACAAAAAAAAATAATTAAATTATATCAAACTAAAGTGCAAGAATAAATCTCAAAGTTCAACCTAATAAATATAAAAATGCCATAGTTTAACATTTCCCCTAAAACAATGATTTTCGAATAATTGTAGTCGAGCTAAGTTTCTATAGGATAATAGCAGTATTGAATTTTGGAACTGGAAAATATTATTAACAAAATTTTTTTAAAATATTGATTTAAGTGGAAAATAGGAAAATTTATTGATTAGTGAAGATAGTTTTTAGTTTCTTACTCTAAATTAAAACATTTTTTTTATAATTACTTAGAGTCAGGATTGCAAAATCAAGTCATTGATATTTGCTGGTAAAACTCCTCAACTGCGCCGCAAAATTCATGTTGTGCGAACTTGTGCTACATTATGACAAACTTTCTATTTGAAACATCATAACCAAGTCGTTGTAGTATAGTGGTGAGTATTCCCGCCTGTCACGCGGGTGACCCGGGTTCGATCCCCGGCAACGGCGTTTTATCATTTTCCCCCTTTTTTGTGGTGTTGGGCATGGGGAGTTGTTTAGCAGGGCTTGGTATTAACACTTGTTCTGGTATAGGGATAAGCTGACTCTTTTCATAACCATCAATGTCCCCATTTAAGATAAGAGAGTATTTTTAATATTATTATATTCTCAACTGCTTCACAAACTATTTGTAGTAACTTACAACCATCACCATTTTCTTAATTTACAAGGAAAGTACTATCTTTAGTCCTACAATATGTATGAATGAAAATTACAGTAACTGGTTTTCTTATAGGAAAGAGGAGAAACAGATGCCAAAGCCAAATGATACTTGCCTTGTGAGTGATATTCCATATAAGCTGATATACATTTTCATCATCTACTAGGGCAACACTCCCCTTGGAGCTTATCATGTTTTTTTATACAATAAAATTATAAACAATCAATTAGACTAGTTAAAAGTAGCAAACAGAATTGAGTCTTGTTTAAGCCAAAAAACAGTTATATGTTGTAAGTTTGATATTGTACTACGAATACGATGACGCTGAACATCTCGTGACAATGCTCCTCGACAACCCAATTTATTGACCTGCGAACAAAAATATTCTAACGCTGTGCTAACAAAGCTATGTCGTACACATCTACTTTATTAATATACTATTTGTAGTTCATAACTGTAAGCATATTAGGCAGTATAAGAAGACATAAGCATAAGCATAAAATGACATCAATGACATTTTGTTCAACATCTACTATTATTCACATACTAGAGTTCATATTCACATGCTTATTTCGAAAGCTTTAATTATATACTCTATACACAGTAAGTGTTCATGCAATAAAAGGCTTAAAGAAAATGGTTAAGTATAAATTAATAAAACGAAAACATGGAAATGACATCGGAATAAATGAAGTCGATGATATGTTTGATAGGTTTTAGGGAAGTAATTGTATGGTGGAATGGTGGTATGTTGATGGAAAAAAGAAGTATGAAAATGGTAGTGAAGGATGAAGGTAATATCTCATATAGAAAAGGAATCAAACTAAGCCATATTAAAGCTTAACCCTAGACCTTGAGGGATGGTGTTTTAGGACTTTGACCCTTTAGGCATATTAAACCAAAAAACCATAAGTATCAAGGTGGATAGAAGGATAGGTGACGTCACAAGCATAATTGCACTTGATAAGTCAATAAAGTTCTAAAAAAACTATGAAAGAGAGAATAATCTCACAAATATGTTCTGTTGAGTCAGTCAAATCAATGGGATAACCAAGAATGGATGAATTGACAATTAGAAAAATGATAGAAGCTTTTTGAAAGAAAATGAAAAATTGACACAAGAAATTTTAGAGTGGTTCAACTTCTTCAATGAAGTCTACATCCACTACCTTAGCTTCCACACTAAGGATTTTAACAAATCCACTAATTTGTTCTAAACTTTTAGGACAAGATATAACCTTACAACACACTTATGTTTATACCTCAACGTCTCAAGTGTACAACCCTTCCTAAGAAGAAATTACAAAGAAACAAACTTTTGAATATCCTAACAAGATAAGATGATTGCAAATTGAAGCTCTCACACACCCAAGAACACTAGAATGAAAATTACAAAGAACATAATAGTGTTATATGTAAGAAACACAAAGTAGAATACAAATTTGGCTCTAAATGCTCTTTGATTGATGAAATAGCTTCATTGCCTTTTATTGGCTGTTTGAAGACCCTTTTTATATGTCCTTGATAATTTCTAGTCGTTTTGGGTTGTTGGAGGGAGTTTGGAACTATTTGGAGCAATAAATTCGCGCATTGAATGCAATCCTGCACAAAGGTTTCGAAACCTTATAGAGAGATTTTGAAACCTTATAGAGAGATTTTGAAACCTACCTTTGAAAAAAAATTGACCATTGAAGTAGGTGTTTAGTTTTGAAACCTTAAGAAAAATTGTAGCAACTGCCATAGGGGGTTCAAAACCTCCTAAGGGGGTTTCAAAACCTGGCCCAAAAACTGCTGAAAAAGGCCTTGTTTCATATTTAAAAAGTATTTTAAAACTTCATAAAATTTATAAACACTTATAAATTTATTTTTGACATTTTGAACCTCAAAACTTATTTTTTACAAACTTGAAAATTCTTGAATCAAATAAAATATTAATTTTACAAAATTTTCAATTTAATCATTTGTTATATTAAATCATTTAATTACATTTATCAATTCCCCTTTTTGATATAACAAAATTACTTTGTAAAAATTTGTCAAAAATAAATTTTGAAGAGGTCAAAACTTTTCAATTTTCTCCCCCTTTGAAAAGGAATTTAAGAGTGAATTTCAGAAATGAAAAATTCATGGTTTTATAAAACATAATTAACTAGAATTTTCATCCCATTTTTATTAGATCAAAATCAATTAGCTATAAGAGAGAAGCCTAGATCAGAGCATACTAACAAATATCCAACAAATATCAAGATAACCAATAATTGCCAAATTTATTAGGGCAATGTATCTAGCAAGTATGAGTAAATATCTAACAAAATATCCAATGTAGTAGCAACATAACATATCCATCATAACATGAAATATAAAAGCATCCTAAAAATCCAATAAAGGATGCAAAAGGTCAATCCTCAATGTTCGGATGAGAGAAGGAAAAAGGACTCGAAGGATGATACGAGCCTGAAAAACGAGCCTGAAAAGCATGAAGACTAGGTCTCATATCATCAATACTAGCTATCATGTTATCAACATTAGCTTCCATGGAATCAAAACGGTGATCGACAAGATCAAGACAAGTGGCCATGAAGTCATAGAGAGAGTCCAATGTGATGGAACGGCGAGGAGGAGCGGCATCGATAAGTGCATCCTCTACATCCTCGACAGGAGCAGCGAGATCATCAATCGGAAGAGCACCATCAAGGTTTTTAACCTATTTACCATTTTCAAATTTGAACCCCATTTTCTTAACGAAGGTAAAATCGAGCGGGTTCAAAAGGGGCATGGGAAGATCAAAAGATGTATTGATGTAGTGGGCACGAAAAATGTGGCTCAAGGCACAAGCATAAGGCAAAGAAAAAGTGGAATTTGAGCCCTTAGTGATGGTGTGCACCAATTCAAAAAAAATAATTTGTATAATATTAGGGCTTTCCTTGGTACGAAAATGATAAAGCCACCAAATATCTAAGAAACGTATACGAGTGGTGCGATCACCCGAAGGACGGAGGAACCAAGTGATAAAGAGTTGTAAAATACATTCCTCAAAAGCAAGATGAGTGCGATTATCATTTTCAATATCTTCAAAGAGAACTTTCTAATTTTCATTAATAAGGTATTTTTGAATTTTTGAATGGGTTTTGGTCGATATATTTTATGATTTACCTTCCTTGTCACTTTTGATGCGAGATAATGATGACGACGACAGAAAAGAGCGACCAAAACAGTGGCAGCGGAATCGACGGCGACAGACAAAGCTCTTGGCTAGCAGCGAGAGTAGCTGGAACCCTAGGGTTTAGAAACCCTAAAAAATGTGGGCTAGGTTAAGGTTAAGTTTGGCCAGTTGTTGGGCTCACTATTTGGCCCGATTGACTTTTTAATTGAGCTCAATTTTGGGCTTGTTGTATTTGTTGTAATTTGGGTTTGCAATAAAAATATAAATGAAATAAAGATAAAAAACTAGAATAGATATAAAATAGAAAAAATAAAATAGAATAAAAAACGAGTGTCTACACCTATGTACAATGCCATATAAAATTATTACAAAAATCCTGGTAAACCGTTTGAAGCCGTTTTTTTTTTCTGGATTGGATCTCCCCAAACCAGTCTAGCTTATACAATGATGGTGGTATGTGAGGTTCTAGATTATTTTTGTGATAATTTTATACCTAATATGTTAACAAAACATGTTTTACGTTACTGGAAATATTAACTTATACCCAATATGTTAGGTTGCAACTATTTTAAAATAAACCAAATAAAATTAGAAGATCAAAACATAAAATAAAAATTTTCCTACAGTAATAAGAGACAAATATTTCAAAATCCTAAACCCTCCCCTCGTAAATATCCCATAATATAACATAATAAATAATGACTAAAATATAACATGTTCAAAATAAAAAGGATCGAACAAAATATTAACCTATTTTCATTTCATTACCGAAATAAAAAAATTACAAGCATGAAGGACTTAGGGTGCTATTAACCCTTAAAGATTCAAAAAACACGAGTTGCCCTAATTCAAAACGACGTAGTTTTGAAACCCCCTGATATACCACATTTTGTGTTTTGGGAAAACCTAACTCCCCATTTTCTTGTTTCAACCATTCTTTCTCCCCATCCCTTTATCTTTCATTTTCATCATCTATCATCCTCGCCGTCGCAAGGTAAGACCAAAAAAAGTCCGACCACCACTAATCGGCACTAGAGACAAAGGTAAGGCAACGAATCAAAACCCCAACCTTTTACCACTCTTCTTTCAACCGAAAATAGCCTAGATTTTACCTATCTTCTCACATAACCCTTTCCTCAATTTTAGACCCCACAAGGCTAACCTAGAGTTCCATGGTGCGAAGCTTTACCTTTGGCGCTTCCTCTCTTTGACGGCGGTCTTGCTTTGCAAATGAGTGGGTCTTTTATTTTCTTGTTTTGGATTTTTTCTTTTTTTTTGTCTGAAAAATCTATTTTTTTCCTCTTTTTTGTTACCCAAAAAGCTTCCCCCTTTTCTTTTTGTTTCCCTTTTTTTCCTCTCGTTTTTGTTTCTCTCCTCTTCTCCTCCTCTTTTCAAAAAAAAATTGAATATCTACTTATATCTTTCCCTTTGCATGTTGGTTTGGTGATGGATCTAGTGAAACAGTGAGGCTACGGCCAACAGGATGATTTCCCTAAACATGCATTCAAAGATCCAGATTTTCTGGGATTTTTGAATTTTTAAATGGGTTTTGGTCGGTATATTTTATGATTTACCTTCCTTGTCACTGTTGATGCGAGATAATGATGATGACATAGTGACGATGACAGAAAAGAGCGACCAAAACAGTGGTAGCGGAATCGACGGCGACGGAAAAAGCTCTTGGCTAGCAGCGGCAGTAGCTGGAACCCTAGGGTTTAGAAACCTTAAAAAATATGGGATAAGTTTGGGTTAAGTTTGGCCAGTTGTTGGGCTCACTATTCGGCCCGATTGACTTTGTAATTGAGCTCAATTGTGGGCTTGTTGTATTTTTTGTAATTTGGGTTTGCAATAAAAATATAAATGAAATAAAGATAAAAAACTAGAATAGAAATAAAATAGAAAAAATAAAATAGAAGAAAAAACGAGTGTCTACACCTATGTACAATGCCATATAAAATTATTACAAAAATCCTGGTAAACTGTTTGAAGCCGTTTCTTCCGGATTGGATCTCCCCAAACCAGTCTAGCTTATACAATGATGGTGGTATGTGAGGTTCTAGATTATTTTTGTGATAAATTTATACCTAATATGTTAACAAAACATGTTTTACGTTACTGGAAATGTTAACTTATACCCAATATGTTAGGTTGCAACTATTTTAAAATAACTTAAACTGGTGTAACCGGTTAAAAGCGAAACACAAAATGTTATAAATCGGAATCAGAAAAGTTATCAATCGTAGTAACATAATATGTTTCACCTAAAATGTTATAAACAATAAGGAAATAAGTTATAAACGGTAAATGTTATGATATTATTTACATTTTAGGCATAACTAAAATGTTACCAAAGTTTAAGTTGATGTAACCTTAGATTTTCTCACGATAATAAAATAAGTTAAAAGCATGTTATGAATATTTATAAGAAATATTGTTTCCCCCGAGAATGTCATGTTCACTAAGAAATATATTGCGATATGCAATGTTAATATTTTTAGTAAAAAAATGGGTTGCGCCAAAAAAATGTTATGGTTCGCTAAGAAATAGGTTGTGATCTGAATGTTAATATTTTTATTAATAAAATGGGTTGCGCCCAAGAATGTCATGGTTCACTAAGAAATAAGATACGATCTGGAATGTTAATATTTTTATTAATTAAAAAAAGGAAAAATGATATTTTAACTTTCAAATTTAAAAGTATGGATACTTTCAAAAAAATATCAATACTTTACAACATTTTTTCTTTTTTTAATTCGAAAGTATGTATATGTTTTGAAAAGTATCCATACTTTTTTAAATTGTCATCTGTTTACATTATATGTTTGAAAGCGTTTATGTTATGAAAAAAGTAAGACAAAACAAGTTTATAAGTTTAACATTCTAGGTTGCGCCTTTTTTAAATTGTCAATCGTTTACATTATATGTTTAAAACCATTTTTATTATGAAAAAGAAAGACAAAACAAATTTATAACTTTAACATTATAATTGCGCCTACTTTTAATTATCAACCATTTAGGTTATATCTTTGAAATTGTTTTTATTATGCAAAAGTAAGACAAAACAAATTTAAAAGTATAACATTATATATAGCGCCTTTTTTAATTGTCAATTGTTTACATTATATGTTTGAAACCTTTTATATTATGCAAATGTAGGTAACAACTTTCTTAATTGTTAATCTTTTAGGTTATAGGTATTAAACCGTTTATATTATTGAAAATAATACAAAAAAATCCTATTTTTACTATAACATAATATGTTTATATTAAGTCTCTTAATATTGATATTAAATCGTTGAATATCGATACTTTTGAAATGATTTAAATATTTTGTTTTTTATTTTTTTGTTGGTCGCAACCGTATTTCTTATATATGAATAATATTTTTAGTTTTTATCTTATTTTCTTTCTATTTTTAAAAGTATCGATCATTATCGAATAAGTATTGATATTTTAACTTTCGATCTTATCTTTAACTTTTTCAATATTTAAAAGTATCGATGATGAGTGAAGTCCGATAGTAACTATCATTATCGACACAAAAGGAAGAGAGATACCTCTTTAGACACTGAACACCGTAGGCCAGGATGTGGAAATAGGTATAGTAATTCGTTTGAGGGTGAGCACCGGCACAAGCATGATAACTCCTCTGGGGATGAGTATCGACGCTCTAGACATCGACATAAGCACCATAGGTCCTCCGATGATGAGTACCATCATCAAAATATGAGATTAGGAAGAGGAGCAGAATTGGAGGAAGGGGAGACTTATGCAAAATCAGATCAATCTAAATTGAGTGAGGGCAATGTTGCTAGTAGGGAAGCTTCTGTAGATATATCGAACCCGGATGCGGCCGAGGGAATGGCTTCATCCATGCCATCAGCTTTCACGACGATTTCTAATGATTTAAGAGCCAAAATCCGAGCTATGCTGATGGCAACCTTATATCAAGCACTGACCTTTTTTTTTTTTTTTTTAATTTTCATCTGGTTTTTCGTTGAACCAAAACAATTTAATAGATACTTTCTCATGTACCAGCTTTGCATGTAATCTTATTACTATAAGATAGTAGTGGCTTCAGATTAAAAACGTATAGATAATAATATATTCAGTATCGATATTTAAAATTTCATTTTCTTTTATTTTTTTGGCATAACCTATTTTATTAATAAAAATATTAACATAAAATATCACAACCTATTTCTATTCAAAATCATGACATTCTTGGGTGCTACCTATTTTATTAATATTAACATAACATATCACAACCTATTTCTATTCAAAACTATGACATTCTTGGGCGCAACCTATTTTATTAATAAAAATATTAACATTCCAGATCACAATCTATTTCTTACTGAACCATGACATTCTTGGACGCATTCGTACTTCTTATATATATTCATAACATTTTCAGTTTTTACTTTATTTTGTTTCCGTGGGAAAATCTAAGGCTCCATTAGCTTAAACTCTAGTAATATTTTAGGTGTAACCAATTTTATTACAAAGAAAATTAACATTTTAGATCGCAACCTACTTCTTTGCGAACCATAACATGTTTAGGCACAACCTAAAATGTTAATAATATTAATGACATTTACCATTTATAACTTATTTTGTTATGTGAGAATGTCAAAAGTTTCAAAAGCTCATGCTCTTGTAACATTTCAGGCGTAACCTAAAATGTTAATAATATTTATAACATTTACCGTTTATAACTTATTTTATTACTGTTTATAACATTTAGGTGCAACCTGTTATGTTACTACGATTGATAATATTTTAGGTTTCAAATTATAATATTTTGTCTTTCGCTTTTAGCATGTTACCTTTTTAAACCGATCACGCCATTTATTAGCCTTATTTTAGGTGTCTGACAGCAGAACTCCCCATTTTCTTCTCTCCAACTTCCAAATTCAAAACTATGAATTTCAAATTCGGAACCGCCTTATATAAAAAATTTGGATAAATTAGTTATTCTGTCATCCAATTAAAATTATATTTTTATTTTAGTCAATTTAATTATTTTGTTGTTATGTTTTAATTATGTTTTAATTAGAATTTCATGAAGGTGATGGTGTGACTTGCTATAATAACGGTTTTAGCATTTAAAATTTATATATTTCAATTCAATCTTAATGAAAGTAATTTAACATTCAATATTGAAAAATCCTTTTAATTTGATTATTCTCTAACACAAACTCTAATCTTCTTGTTGTTTCTACTTTCAATCATCGTCTAATGTTATCTTTGACACCTTTTTTAATCAATAAAACTGTTTAAAACTCGTCCCTTTTCTCTCTTTTCACCTTTCGGTTTAGATTCTCAAAAAAAAAAAAAAATAATAGTTCGTTTTGTTTCCCAAGTTTTTGGCAAAAAATAAACTCTCACAATCTCTTTATTAGGATAAGAATGTTCAAAATTTTCGAGTCCGTTAGTGAGGATGATGAATATCGTATATCGCATTTATGTTTTCATTGGCTATATTTTGAAATATCAATATTAGATTTCTTAACTCCACTTATACACTCTTGAGTGACCTCCAATTTATTCCAAATCTCATTGGCATTAAGTTGAACAAGTTTTCTATCTTTATCGGTCCTGTCGTAATCAATTTTCGCCCGACTCGACGTTTCTTAGTGAAAGCAAGTGAATAAATGGTTTTTAATGAAATGTTTAGGAGTCGTCATCGACCTTTTAAATTAATTAGGTCGAATACCTAAAAATCACCTTTTAAAAGAGTTTTTAAGAAAACATCATTTAAAAGATAAATCAGTCTACATATAACCAGAAATTCATTCTTTTTATAAAAAGAGATTCGGGGTTGATTACGAGTGGGGAATGATTAGCACCCCACAATGCCCAAAATTGATACCCGTTGATTATAAATTGTCTATATTAATGGAAATCTTAAGAATTCAAATATAAATTTAATTTATGATCCTATTATTTCAGATTTAATCGCATAATTCTAAGGAAAATATAAAATATTTCAATATTTCCAATTGAAGAGAAACTAATCCCTAAAATATTTTAGGATGAATATTTCTTTTTCCAACTGAAATAATACGAATGTGATAATTCTTCCCAAGAAATTATATTAAAATAATTTGATATAACCAAAACTAAAGTAAGTATATTTTTTAGGTTTTTATAAGCATGGTATTTATTTATTTTAAAATATCAGAATAGTACATCTAGTTACTTTAAGACATTCATTTCTTTAATATTAAAAATAAATAAATATTATTATTTAATCAAATTATGAAATCAATCAAATTATGCTTATGAGTTCATAAATATTCATGTGACTAAAATGAAATGAACAAAAATAAAGTACAACAGTTAAAAGACTAAAATTAAAGTATGAAAAATGTAAAGCAAATATAGAAAATTAAAGTAATGAAAATAAATAAATAAAAAGTAAATCACATAAATTAAAATATAAAGTAAAGAACTAAAATAAAAGATATCAGAATATAAGGCCCAAAATGAAATAGTTAAGAGGATTAAAATATTAAAATGACTAAAATATAATAAAGTAAAGCATAAAGATCAAAATAAAAAAATAAAAATATAACAGATAATTTTGAAATAATAAAAAAACAGAGAAATTAGGGACATGACACATGATTTTGCAAAAAAATAAAAATGAAAACAAAATAAACAAACCCCTCTTTTTTCATCTCTCTAAACTCTCTCCATCCTCTCTACACCCAACGTGTGCTCGAGAGCTTCAAAGCTCCTCACCAACGCCGTTGGCCACGATGTCGATCATGGCAAAGATGGTCGAATAGGCCATTAAACCGAGACCAAACAACCCCCTAAGAGGCTTTCTTCATCCTCTCTCTTTTGCTCGACCGAGAGCTCCTCAGAAAACCAAGGACCACGACGGCTCGAGATTCTGACGAGGAGCTCGAGGAAAGGTAAACTCACTCCTCTCTCCCTATATTTCTACTCTGGATAAAAAAGAAAATAAAAAGGAAAATGGGTACTGAGAAAAATGAACCTTTGGAAATGTTTCTTGTTTTTGCTGTTGTATTTCGAATAATGGGGAAAAGTTACAATTTTTTCTTGAAAGAACCTTCACCGGGCTCCTTTTACAATCTTTCTTTGGGTTTTTATAACCCAAAATGTTACAAGATTTTTCCAATGTAAAATATCCTTTTTGATTTGTTGTTTGTATGTGATTTGTTGATGAAGATGGTGGGACGTGGAGCAGGGGAGACCGTGGAAGCTTCTGAAACGTGTATGGATAGTTGGTGAGGTGTTGGAAGCTACTGGAATACTGCTGTGGTGGAGCTGCCGACGTGGAGGGACTGCTGGTGTTCCTCTGGAAGCTGCTGGAACTGTCGGGTGGAGCTGCTGGAACTGTCGGGTGGAGCTGCAACGTGGATGGACAGCTGTTCTGAGCTTGCTGTTGTAGAGGTAAAAATGGTGATTACAACTGCCCCTCTTTGCTGGTTACTATGGAACAGGAATGGAGAAAAGACATAAAGCACAATTTTTAGCTGAAATTGTTCAAAATTCTGAGCTAAAAGTTCTTCTCATTATGATTTTTTTACTCACTTCGGACGAGTTCTTCTCATTATGAACTTTTCCATTGGAAATGTTGATCCATCTCCTTCTGTGATGGAATCGAACTAAGGTTGAACAAGTTTTTCTCATTATGAACTTCTTCTTCCTCTTCGGACGAGTTCTTCTCATTACAAACTCTTTCACTGGAAATGGTGATCCATCTCCTTCTGTGATGAAATCTAGCAAAATGTTGAACAAGTTCTTCTAATTATGAACTTCTTATTCCTTCATTGAGTTCTTCTCATTATGAACTCTTCCGTTGAAAATGTTAATGCCTCAAGTGAGGTGTTGTTAATTCAATTCCATATGCGATGAATCAATCTAACGTTGAACAAGTTATTCTCATTATGAACTTCTTCTTCATCTTTAGATGAGTTCTTCTCATTATGAACTCCTTCCGAAAATGTTGATGTTGATCTATCTCCATATACGATGAATCAAGTAAAAGGTTGAACAAGTTCTTCTTATTATGAACTTCTTATTCCTCTTCAGATGAGTTCTTCTCATTATGAACTCATTTTGGAAATGTTGATGCTGATATATCTCCTTCTGGAATAGAGTCGAACAAAAGGTTGAACAAGTTCTTCTCATTATGAACTTCTTTTTCCTCTTCAAACGAGTTCTTCTCATTATGAACTCCTTCTAGAAATGTTGATCCTGATCTATGTCCTTCTGCGATAGATTTGAGCAAAATGTTGAACAAGTTCTTCTCATTATGAACTTCTTCTTCCTCTTTAGATGAATTCTTCTCACTATGAACTCCTTCTGGAAATGTTGATGCTGATCTATCTCCTTCTGCGATAGATTCAAGCAAAAGGTTGAACAATTTCTTGTCATTATCAACTTCTTCTTCCTCCTCAGATGAGTTCTTCTCATTATGAACTCCTTCTGGAAATGTTGATGTTGCTAGTGAAATTGTATCAAGCGAGACAAATCTTGTTTTCAGAAAAACTATCTCGAGTGAGATAAAATTTCTTGTTTCAAGTGAAACAATTGTATCAAGAGAGACAAATATTGTTTTAAGAAAAATAATCTCAAGTGAGATAAATTGTTGTTTTGAGTGAAACTATCTCAAGTGAGACAAAGTTTGTTTTAAGAAAAACAATCTCAAGTGAAATAAATTGTTGTTTCGAGTGAAATTGTCTCAAGCGAGAAAAAATTTGTTTTAAGAAAAACAATCTCAAGTTAGATAAATTGTTGTTTCTAGTGAAACTGTCTCAAGCGAGACAAAGTTTGTTTTACGAAAAACAATCTCAAGTGAGATAAAATTTATGTTTCGAGTGAAATGCTCTCAAGCGAGACGTTGCTGATTCGAAATGTCATGAATCAAGCAACGGAAATGTTGAAAACATTCTACCCGAAGGTCTTATGAATGGCCCGAATGACTTATCATCTTGCTCGAAAGGCTTACAGATAACCAGAAGAATTTAAGCATTATGCTTGAAAGACTTACTGATGACCCGAAGGATTTACTCATCAAGAAACCCTTGAAAATCAAGCTTAGTT